CTCCGGACGAGGAGTCATTCATGGCAATGATTGCAAGGGATGACGGAGGAGCAGTCAAGGCTTGGACTGATTTGCTCTCCAGCGTCGACTCGGGGTCTAACGACAGGACGCGTACAGTGCTGTCATCACATCCCACAGCCAGGAATGAACTTCGCAGGCGTCCTTCGGGGATCTCACCCAAGCTCAGGCATGTGACAGTTCCGAACATTTCCTTCTTCTCATCGTACTCGGCTAGGGATCCGTCACCATCCATCTCGAAATAGACAATCTCACCCGAGCTGAGTGCAACTGCTACCTGATGTTCATTGGTGGTTGCCGCGACGATGGATCTGTGCTGCGGTGCGGCCCATTCGTTGACTTGGCCATGTCGGATGTGGCGAATGCCTTTGGGATGGACCTGAATGAGGCCGTCTTCGCCCAGCAACTGCGCTGCCAAGGTCGGCACAGAAGTCAAGAAACCGGAATCGCTGACCTCCTCGACAGTTTCACCGATACTCAAAACAAGAGTTCCGTTGGTGAAGGACAACACAATGTACGCATCGTATTGGTCGCCGCGGCTCAGTTTGAGAGTCCAAACCGCCGAGGGAATGCCGGGCAGTTCGGATGCGACAATCTCGTTTACTTCCAAGCCATGCTTCAGCATCCTGAATGTGCTACGAGCACCGTTGCCGCAGGCTGTGTAGATTTGTGGCGCGTCCTCACCAGTCAGATTGGCCACCTTGCAGTCGAGAAGGGGGTTCATAGAGTCAATACTCTCGACCAGAGCAAGATTCTCTAGCGGTCTGGGATGGAAGTAGACCGCTTCGTAACCAGCCCTAGGGTCTGTTGGGAAGTCGTCGCTTGAGAATTCCAGTTCCTCATCGTCGTCTCCGAGCTTCTCGAACTGGTAAAATTGGTGGTTGCCAAACTGGCTGGCAGCGTAGAGGAAACCGCTCTTGAGAATGCAGAGGCTGGATGATACCGGTACCGTGTCGAAGTACTTGATCTTAAGCCGCTTCACTTCGCCAGTGGGATTGCCATCTACATCCTCAACCATATCGAGGGTGGCCTTGAAGAGGTCCCCATCCTCGGTCTGCAGGAGGAAGAAGAAGGCGCCAGCACTACCTTTCAGCTTGTGCATGACGCCAGATACCACGTGCCGCTTCCTGGAAGGGTCTTCCGTTGCACCTTTACGGCGCGGAATGGGCACACGGAAAGCTTCCTGGTTGGAGTGCCTGTATGTGATGTTTTCTTCTCCACAAACCAAGACTCCACTGGGGCCATCTTGACCACCCGGGACTTGGAAGAGCAGTGAAGCCGTGGGATCGACAGGTTCGGACCATTTCCGGACGACGTGGTTCAATCCCAAGTCCAACTCGTAGTAAACCAGTTGAGCCTCTGCTTCCCGGGCTGCCTCTCCTGTAGGATCTTGGTCTGCCTCAGTGTACTCGATCTCGAGCGCAGCAAAGACCGGGTTGGCATAGCCGACGTCCAACGCGACCATGCACAGCACCAGGACTCCGGGCTTGTGTGCCTCGAGAGGCGAAGAGATCGTAAGCTCGGCCTGCGAATTGCGGTTGAGAACGTATACGAGCTTGTTCTTCTCCACTGACGCGATCATACACGCTCTGCCTTTCGGATCACATGCAAGATATTCTCCAGGTATGACGCGTCGTACCCCGGACTTGCCAAAAGTCTCCAGATGCAAACGCTGAAACCGATTCTGCGCGGGAATGTACTCGACGATGGTGATCCTTCCAGAGTCAGTCGCAAGGATGAGATAGTCTTGACGCAAGGTCAGCATAGTCCTTCGGCAATCAAGTCTCGCATCCGAGGTCGAGCGACATTGACTGCATTGACGCCTGTCGCGACCGGCAAGCTTCTCAAATCACTAAGTGAAGCTTAAAATGGAATGTGGGGCACGAGACATACCTTTGTTGCTTCCAGCCAAGCGGAAGGCGGCCATAGACCTGATGATGCCGAAGATATCGTGCGAGAGGAGTGTGATGACTTTTCCCTGTGACGGATCCGGGCGAAGCAAAGTCAATCGCGACCCCGATGCTGTCACAATGTTCTGCTCCTTGGTGCCAGAGAACTGACCCAGCACCGCCTGTGTGACATTGGTAGGCGATTGAAGGGTCAGGGAGTAAAGAAACATGTTTGAGGTCGTCGCCATGTTTGCAGGTGAGCGCAGATAGCCTGCGCGGCCTCAAAATTCGAGCTCGAATGGATGGGCGATGCACAAGACGCGATGGTGTTTTTGGAGTGATGGTGGGTTGGGAGGCTGGAAAGCTCCAGCACAAAATTTCAGAAGCTCCAGGTTACCACTTGACGCCTGAGACCTGCGTGGTGGAGACCCGCGGCGTCGGCATCTTGTTGATCCGAGCTCCCCGAAATTTTGGGTCGGCCCCGTCGTCGATACAGAGCTCTATGGAAGCTTGTGAGAGAAGGAGCATTCTTGGTAGCAACGCAGGCCGCAACTGGACTTACGTATACCATCGGGTGTCATGGAGCCGGCTTTTAGAAGAGCAGCGTCAAGCGCTTGCGGGCAATGCTCTGCTGCCTTGAGAAGGCAATTGATTGCCAACGGAGTTCCCAGAATCACCCCTCGCATCGCATCAGCCCACTCGACCCGAAGCCTCCATTCCACCGTTTCTAGGAGATCGAAGGCCATCAATGTGCCCACGAGACAGTTCTCTTCGTCCCCGAAAGCCTCGAGCGAGGCGGCAGCTGTAAAGCCCGCCACCAACGAATCGTCGACCCCCAAGCTCCGATCAGATGACCTGTTTCACTCTTTCACGAATTCCCCCATCCCGGAGATTCGACGACGTGCGGCTTTCATGCGCCAACATGCCTACTGTTCTCACCCCGATCATCGCGCGACAAGGGTTCCGACCGTCGCACCCCATGGTGAGGAGAAACAATCGCAAACAGGCCAGCTTGCGCCGGCGCACGTCGATTTCGAGTGTCCTGATTGTGGAATTCCCGTCTCCTGCAGCAAGGAGCACTGGATGGACGATTATGAGGCTCACCTCGAGATCTGCGACACTTTGAGGGAGATCAACGAGGATGACCATGATCTACGATCTGGCCGGACCTTCCCGGAGTTCGTTATGGCAGATGATCAGATGCCCGAGGCAGTCGTCAACATGACCAACTGGGACACCTTCATGTACAGCCGCGAATTTGAGGCTATCAATGATGAGCGCAGCATGCGGCAGGTCACGAAGATGCTCACATACCCCATCACAATTGGCAGTGTTCTGCATGAGTTGAGCCCTTACAGCGTCAAGCAGGGGGAGAGGTTGACGAGCGAGGGTTTGAAGAGTTTGAGTGGTGAGTCAGTTGCATGGTTTCACAAGTGCGACGAACTGACAAGAAGGCAGCTTTGCGATATACTCTTCATCCCCCTCTCTCCGGAAAGGGTACTACCATGAAGGAACTTCGTCCTGAGGCTCCTCCCGTGAGAGTCTTCTGCTTGGGAGCGCGTGCCGAATCATCCCTGCCCAGAAACGTCTGGCTCCAGCTTGCTCATCTCTTCCCAGAGAGCAAGATTCATCTGATCTTCATTGGCCCCGAAAGCATGGCTAACCGAGACGATGAATTTCCTTTGCCACAACGGACGCCCGAGAACCCATTTGGTATGGTGATCGAGGACCGGATATCGCACAAGATGAAGATCAGCACCATCGTGGACTACTACCACACCATCCACAAGACCGGATACTTTGCGCCTTACGATCCATACTTTGACTGCTTCTGCCTCTTCCATCCTGGTTTGGGCCATCCCGCAAGCAGCCACGAGTGGACCGAAACGCTTCCTATGCTTCTGGAGACCAAGGTCCCTATCATTGCTACAGGTTACACCCAGTTTGATATGGAGAGAGATATCGAATGGGTCAGAAAGACCGCTGCTGGCGAATTTGACGTTCTGTTGGAGCCTGGCGAAAATCTTTTCCGCAGCTTGAGGTGGGATCTGAATGACCTGGATCCCCAGGACGTCAGCTGTGGAAACTGGGGAGTGTGGGCGTTCCGTGGAAAGAGGTATGCAATGCGTACTAGCCGTTAATGTGATCCGTCGCTAACAAGGAATACCTAGGTATGAGACGACTAAGAAGGATGACGAGTAGATGCTCGTCACATTGCTGATGAACCAAATTGGGAATGAAGTTGGACCACTTATAGAGGTTCTGTAAATAAGTGTATCATATTCACCGGCATGTGCATTGTATAACACAGAAGGGGGAAGAAAAATCAAGACCAAGTCGACTCTGTGATTAACTTTGCTGTAAAATGTGACCTACCTCCTCTTCATGACCGACTGTCCAAGCCAAGACCTGCATTGCCTGTACCGAAGCTACTGCAAGGATCATGGCGCACCAAGATCACAGAGTTCAGGGCAGCTGCGGTTGAAAACAATGCTGCACAGGAGTCGACTTCATGATGGGCGTACCACTCAGTCATGCTACTGCGCGGTGCCAAGATGTGGCGATTCTAGACGTATTCTATTGTGCCAACCTTGCACGAAAGGCAAGGTAGGTAGGCTGACTCGCATTAGCAAGGCAAGACAAGCGCATGCGTTGTCAAATGTTCCGGCAGGTCGGGTCCGGTGGCCGGGGCAAGTGCCGGGTTGTCCTCTGCAGATGCGGGCCACTCCGGCAGGTGCCTCTTTAATGGAATGGAAGGGGCCTAAGGCAAGGTACCTTATGTAAGGCGCCCGCCCCGGGGTCCTAGCGGCCTGCAGCGCACAGGGCCACGGCCGTTGAGCCGCTAAACGCACCTGCACCGGGAGACAAGCCCTTCCTTGTAACCGACCAGCACCGGGGGGCAGGTCCCCAGTTTCCGCCTGCCGTCACTCGACCACCTCATAGATCAGCGTCGTCCGAAATCTGGCTCGCTGCAAGTCAAACTTGACGACAACTCACTCTCGCGACTCTTGACTGTCACCGCCAAAGGGTCCCACGCTACCGACTTCGAAGCTTCGTACCATGAGAGTGTGGTCGCTTCAATCATAGACGGCCATGGCAGCTGTCGCTACCCCTCGCGCTCCGACGCCGCGACCGAAAGCCCCCGCGACCGTCAGCTTCTTGAACGACCCGGCCGCGGCCGTTCCTACACCTTTGGCCACCCCCGTCGCCGAACGAAACCGCCCTCCGCTACAGACCAATCCTTCCGCTCGCCGATCTGCTCGACCTACTCCTACAGACTACCTCTCCGACAAAGCAACCGCCGCCTTCATCCGCCGTGTCCTGTGCTCCAAGCACCTCGCCGAAAGGGGGAGGGCAACCCCATCCCCGATCGAGGAACTACTACCACCCCTGACCAGCCGAAACGATGTCGATCTTCAGCTATACGCACTCATATCTGTGATTCTAAGGGAATACGTACAAGTGTGGTACAGCAAAATCACACCCGATGACACATTTGTAGACGAAATAGTCCAAATAATCGCCCATTGTACAAGGGCCCTGGAGCAGAGACTCCGAAAGGTCGATCTAGAAAGCCTTTTGTTTGACGAGCTTCCCGATTTACTGGATAGACATATCCTCGGTGGGTCAAGACGTGCGAATTATTAGGTCAGTCTTTCACTAACGTCCACTCGATAGCCTACCGCGCGGCGCATGATCCGGTGTCTCGACCACCAACCGAAATAGACCCACGAGAAGTCTATCACTCGCTATGCCCTTTGGCTCCTTTGACGCCCATACCTCGCCCCGGAGACCCCTCGTCTATTGCGAGACAGCAAGAGAACGAGACGCTTTATCGTCAGCTATTAGTGCAGGGCGTCCTGGCTGTTCTCCTACCAACCGAAGACCTCGAAAACGATTGCCTGACCTCTCTGGTTGGCCAAATCTTCTCCGAGCTCATCGTTGGCAACGTCCTCGCCAATCGTCTTTCGCAACCATGGCTCATTTACGAAATATTTATCATCCTCACCAGACTTCTCGACAGGAAAGCATCAGAGCCTATCGAAGAGGGGGTGGCGGAGGCGTTGCAGGCCGGGTCAACATCCGCCCTCCCCAGGCCTGTTCGTCGCAGTTGGTCCATCCAAGGCGCGTTCTGGTCGCTCGTACAATGGTCATTTCTCGCTTTCTCGACTATCCGCTTCCTCGTCGTCACTCTCGCAATGTCTTCATCCCTGCCACCAAGGTCAGACGGCGAGCTGAATGAAAAGGACCAAGTGACTGGTCAAATATCGCATTCGAAGATGTTGAATCCTCCAGCTAGCTCGAACGAAGTTCAGCCTGTCAAAACGCCCATTGCTGCCTTCAAGCTATGGAGTTGCGTAGCAGATCTGATCGAAATGGACTCTCGCATGCCTTGGTTGAGCGGAATCATGTCACTTTTCCAGCTCGGGGCAATGAGCGGCCCAGGACGCATTGCTGGTCTCAATGGAGCCATGGACAGGTAGGCAACCATCATTTTGTTTCTCTCTCTCCTTCTCTAGCAATCTCACGTCACGCCGCATGAGGTTCAAGTCACTGGATCTCAACCAGCTCTAGTGAGCAATCAGCAGCGCCCCATCAGGCGAATGAGGAAGACGGGATGGCTCTTCCCACGATAGCCTAGTGGGCAGCACCGTGGATGGATGTGTTGATGAGTTGATACGGGCCATGGCGACACACACCTTGGGGTGCACGCAGCGATGGGGGTTGAGTCTCTTGCAGGACTGCGCGAAAAAGCCGAAATATGCTGTGTGACACTCACACCCGGCCCATTCTGCGACCCAACCCTGAGTTGACCTCGTCCGCCCGATTCCTCGAAACATGCGGTTGCATCCCAAGGACCTCGTGGCTTCCGACCAATCGCAGCTGGCGTTAACGTTGCTCGCCTCCGATTGCTTGATGGGCCCTCGCGGGGCTGCGCTTCCATCCACCAGCAAGCCTCATTTACGCGCCCAAGTCCAACAGCGAGCATCACTTTGCAGGGGTTCATTTCCATCACCGTCATCTTCTTTGCCCAGCGCACGCCTACGAAAATACGACGCTTGGTCACCTACGGAAAGCTGTTGGTCTTGCTCGCTTCTTGACGCCCCGCTGCGAAGTTGGTGGTGAAAGCGACCGCGCATGTCAGGACGCAAATCCTACCTGCACGGCCTCTTTCACCATCTGGGTCATGCTGGGGCTGATTGCAAACTTCCGCCCCTGACCACCAGCCGATGCGTATAATCAGGCCGGAGCGGTCCAGGCCATGGGCAGTCACTCGACCCGTCCCGATAAACGGGCTGGCAGCTTGCCGGTCCCCGCTCAGCGCCTAATTGCCTGCCATCTATGGAACGATGCGAAGCTTGGCCGGACTCGAGCTTAGCTATCCTGGCTGGCATTTCTGGGTCTCTGCGCATTGTCATGTGCTCACATATACCTCAATGGATCGCAATCGAAGGGAAGACATCTCGACATTAGGACCAATATCATCCACGCGCCTCCGAATCCAGGACCAAGTCCGAGCCTTACAGACTGTCTCCATCGCCAGCAAATGGCCTGGAAATCCAGATCCGCCGGCTCATCAATATAGGAAGCTATTGAGCCATCTCAATAACCAAAGACAACAACATCCGTCGCAATCTCGTCATCGGGGGCGCTCAGCTACCCCTGCTCTCAACCTCGTGTTACCTTGGCCTGACATCCCCCATTCTCTCACTTCCCCTCCCGCAGATCGTTGCTTCCCTTTGTCGGTTCACACAAAAGCCCCTGCAACCCCCACACACTTGACCGTCGCGACTGTCCGAGCCGGAAGCATACCCGGAAAGAAAGCTGACATGGAGCGCTTGCCGCGTCGAAATACAGGCTCATTTCGCACACCATTCACCAACGTCTTCTCGACGCCGCATACCTGCCAACCGTTCTCCGCTCCATCCGCGCCGCTCTCTTCCCCAACAACGCCCCCGGCGTCTCGACCTTGGTGGCCCCCTCATCCGACGAGCAGCTGCGTGCCTTACGCCGCAGGTGCGCTAGCGCCATGCTAGCCAGCATCCCGCCTTGGTTGACTGGTCTGTATCTTGGCGGGCGAGGCCTTGGCTTCCGGTGGCGGTCCGGACCGGATTCAAGGGCTGGTGCTGGTGATGATGCTGCTGCTGCTTTGGCCATGAGCGAGAGCGAGGCCGATGTTCCTGGCAGGGGTGGTGCCACTAACGATAACAGGACTAACGATTTAGGAAATGGAAGTAAAGGGGACGAGGACGAGAATCAGCAGCGAATGCTGGCCGAGATCGAAGAGGGCATACTCGATATCTTCTCAGACGAATACTGCAACAAGCACTTGGTGTACAGCATCTTGGAGCTGATTCTGGTGAGGCTGATGCCGGAGCTGGCAGAGAAGGGCGTCGTTGAGCTCTGGGAGGAGCGTCTGAGCCTGTGACGGATTAATTATGAACGAGTTCTATGCCTTCCTGTCTTTTAGATACCCTTGTTAGTCTGAGAAACGCATTTTGTAATTCTGCATGATGAAGCAATGTACTCATTCTCAGATAACGTTCCTCATTGGAATCTCATGATATGACACATGGTCAGTGGCAGTCACAAATGCACTTTTGATGGTGAAAGGCAGGAGACAAATGGTTTTGTGATGTTCGTGTATTCGCAGACCGGTCGGGAGGGGGAAAGGGGGAAGAGAATGAAGAAGGAAAAAAAAGGGGCATATCCCTAGGAAATCAAATGCAAAAAGGGGCCGCCCTTTTTTTTCGTTTTTTTTTCCCACGCAAAGTCTCTAGCCGGGGCTAGACGACAAGTCTTTGCGTACGTTTTGCATCGTGCTTTCCCCCTCAACGTTCCTTGAGCATCCCTCTGCCTTGTGTGTGTCTTCTCGACCTCTTGCCTTGCTTCGTTCCTAGCCCGTTGATCAATTATGATAACCCGTGCCTGGCTCAAAGCCTTTGCCCCTTTCCGTGACACCCGCCCCTTGTAGATACTGTGCCTGGCTGACCGGCCACCAACCAACCGACCGGAACCCCCTCCTTACTTCCTATCCTTGTCGCCTCACAGATGCAGAGAGTGTATAAGAGAAGGCTAGGATAATACAGTATTGAAATGGTGAAATGGTTGAAAATTTTGCGCTCGGGGAAGCTATGAAGAGAGATAAACATGAACCGAAAGGAAAAAAAAACCGGATAAGGAAAAGATGACTATTGAAAACCAGGCTTGAATCGATGTGGCGCGTGGGGAATTTTGCGGTGTTTCGCGTGAGCGGAAAGGTCTTCCCTTGAGGGGAGCGTGAGCGTTGATAAGAATGGGGTATATGGATGTCTCGACTGAAATTTCGAGTAGGAGGGATAATAGTGATGCTGTTGTTTCAAGTAATAGAGAAAATGTCTCCGCGCCGTCGTCTCTGGCCAGTGTTCACCCCGGTCCTATATTGATAAGTTATAATTACTTGCCCATCTTTCCAACTGTCGTGAGACTGTGGACCGGCGGCGGGAACACACAGGGGCCCGAGATTATTGTCGCGGGGTCTGAAACCTCAAGGTCCAATTGAGAAAAGCCTCGGGGCTGTCGTGAGACATTGACCGTGTATTCCTGGGGTGTCGTATTCCCCATGATAGGTATCGCCATTGTGAAGTGGGTTCTTGTTTTCCCAAAAATCGAAAATCCGGTCCCGGCGAGGGGAGTATGCTCTTTGCAGAACTCTCGTCGGGTCTAGAGATTGGTGTGACCAAAATGAAGGTCGTCGTCCTGTTGTAGATGTCCACGCATACCATGCGCGGGATGGCCTGTTTCCCAATCCAGTCCAGAATCAAAGCAAACAAACAAACAAATAAACGCCTTGAAGAATGACGAAGAATATTCTTGCCGAACAAGGAGAATGATACGCAATCTGATATGGTTTTGCTTTGCAAAGTGATTTGCTGAAGCATCGGGCCGGGTGCTCATTGAGTTACGACGGGCTCGGATTTGATCCCTAGCGACATCGAGTGAACGTGTTGCGGTGCCATCTCGGCGTCTCCTTCAGGTATCCGATCCAAAATGCCTAGGGATTGAGGTACTCCGGATTTCGCAAGCTGATGCTGCTGTAGGCGCAATTTCTCCGTCAACCTGACCATCACCACATACTCCGTTTGGTCCAACAAGGCTCCTCCATTGGTGCTTTGGATGTAACTCAGCAACGTGTCCGCAGCCTTTCGAGCATCCTCCTGTGTCGGCGATGTCGGAGATGACCCGGCTGGAGTCGTGGCTGATCGGCCAGCCATGCTACTGTTGCTACTGCTATGGTGCAGGTGCGGCGATGAAGTAATGGCGGTATCTAAGCCAAAGTGGGGTGCTGCCATTTCGTGAACCGGCGATTCCAACGCAGAAGAAGGCGCCGTAGACGCCGGGTGGTACTTGGGAGTCATGGGCTCTGTTGATGCGGCCTGGTTCATGTATTCCAGATCGAGAGTGGGAAAGGTTTGGCTCCTTGGTCTCTGGAAGTTTGAAGCGGACCCTCCATGCAGTTGGCGGGATGTATCGCTGGGGAGAAACTGGCCAGCGTTGGGATCAGGGGAGAACGTGAACGTGGCCGTGGGACTCATCGCGCTTCCCGAAAAGGACGAGTTTCCTGCATCGGTTAACGCGCTGTTGAGGGATGTAGTGCTTTGCGAGTTGGTGTGTTTGTAGGCGCCTCCATCACCGTATCCGACAAAACCGAGACCATGCACAGCGTCCTCATCACTCCTGTCGGCCGAAAGTGGTGATGGATGTCCTGTTGGCGACGCGGGTGAGACGCCTGATGCTCCGAGAGACGGAGAGCCAGAGAGTTTCGCGTGGTCTGTGATGTTCGTTTCCGATGCTCTTCGCAAGAGCTTTCCCGATACCAGAATGTTCCTCTGCTTGAATCTCTCCAACCAAGTGGTGTTGATGGACTTCATCTGGCTGGCTTCAGGTCCGCCGTTGGTGGTACGAGAGAAGTGCTTTGCTTGATCGAGAATCTCATCGTCGCTAGGTGTTAACCCGGCTTGTTGCTGTCTCCTGACCCATGCCGCAACGGCCCGATCGATGTCCGGAAACTTTCCCTTGGTGTGCCGCCTGCCAGCGGGAGATTGACTTCTGTCTGCCTCTGGATTCAGGTACTTCTCCTTGTTGCGGAGAACTTTGGAAACGGTGCTGGGATGTCAAGGTTAGAACTTCAACGCACTCTCCATGCAAATGCTTGAACCCACCTTCGTTCAACGCCAAACATGGCGCCGATATCCGTCTGCTTCACGTTGGGATGTTCAGCAGCATACTGACACATTTTCTTCCGGTCGTCGTCGGTCAGGACCCTTCGCTGTTGCGGCTGCGGGCCGTTTGTCAGCCGTGTAGGCCTTGAAGGAGCTGGGGCAACGACAGGTGTCATTCCCAAAGGAGGTGCCGAATAGCTGTTGGGATTGGTCAACATGCTGGGCCACGTTGGCTGAGATGGTATCATGAGCATCGGTAGCTGGGCATGAGACTGTTGATGATGAGACTGCATCGGCTGCACAGGAGCTGGCGGAGGAGGCATTCTGCCGATTGACTCAGACGGTAACCCATGGGTGACTGATGGCATGAAGGTGAAGCCTCCGAAATCCGACATGCTGTTCTGATGGCCGTATGGACTCATGTCTCCCCAACTCTCGGCGCCGAAGGTTGTGTGGTTGTGACCCATATGAGTGTCTTCGTCCTGGGTTAGGTGGTTGTCCTGGTCCATGGTGGCGGTCCCCACGATGGAGTTGTTCATTGCTTAAACAACTGTTAGATGTGTATTCGATCCCCAAAATCCAACTTGGCAGTACTCAAAACGAGACTGTCTGGCTGGCCTGTTGTCGTAAAATCCAGGTTCCAGGTTGGTGAATGCGAGGAGGGGGTCGCGCCGAAGGCTTCGCCTTGACTGATGGGATGACACTTAGGCCAAGGGTGGGGATTGCTGGTCCCGACAGATGTTGGTGGGTTTGGCTTCAAGAAAGGAAGACACCATGCATGGCAGAGGTGGCCAATTGGTTCCTGAAGGCGCGCCGTGCAGGCGGTCTGCTTTGTAGGTCAAGAAGCCCTGGGCCTCTCAAGGTGACTCGATGCAAGTGCGTTGCAGGCTGCAGAGAGGTGTCGGGGGCAACGTCGTCTATGAGTTGGACGGATCAACTAGCCGTATGTCTCTCCGTGGGTTTCTCAAACGAGAAGTGCCGGTCTGGTGTGCGGGTTCTGGAGTTGGAGTTCGAGGTCGTGCTTAGAATGCGGGTGCAACACCAACAACCCTTTCCTGTCGCGGCAACAACCAAGTTGGTCCTTTACCGTAACAAGAACCCCCAGCTAGTCCTCAGAGTCTGTTCTAGGGGGTTTCCTGACCGTATTGCGCTTTGGAAATACCTATGTTAACCAGGGCTGAGCTGTTGTGCTGGTCTTTGGCGAGCTGGCCGAGTTCTAGCGAGGACACGCCTCGCAACAACAAATTAAGGATGGGAGGAAAGAGGGATGTTCGAGGAATAATCGACCGTTGAAAGACTGCTGTTCCCGGGGAGAAGGCTTGTCTGTCTATTCGGTCGGCCAGTTGAGGGTGATGGCGAACGAGCCTGACAGGACTGGAAAGTCGGATCGGGCCACTCAGAAGGGGAGAATCAGACAGCGGTATGCTGCAAGAATCAGACGCCGCGACGCACGAGGCAAGGCTTGAAGGACAAAGCTAGCAGGTCGAGGTTGGGGTAGGCGGGCTTGTCTAGATAGTAATACTATCATGCGCACGGAAGGATGAAGGTTGTGTGGGCGGCGGTGGGCCGCAGTGTACATATGTAGAAGCTCTGCAGGCAAAGCGACGGCGGATGCTTCCCATGCCCATGTAAGTACACTACCGGCAAGGGTCTGGGGTGTGTGTCTCGTCTTCTCCTGAGGGTGTGGTGGGTATGATTGAATCTAAGTAGAGCCGGGGTCTCGACTCGGCCCCTCGGGGTGTGTGGTAGGTAGTAGACTAGACTTTGCGAAGGATAAGATGAAGTTCTCTATGTACCACAACCGCGTGGTCATTAGGTAGACGCTGAGAGACGATAGAGGAATAGAGTAGACACGCGGAACGTCGGCCAGGTAAAAGTCTGGTTAATGAGCGATGTGTTGATCAGGACAATAAAAATGCAAATGCAGCTTGCCTGTCAGAAGAAAGCGCCCGGCAACGAGAGTGGTTGTGATAGGCCTAAAAGAATGGTAAAGCCGCAAAGGTGCGACGTCAGGACTCGAGTACAGCACAGTCTTATGCATGAAGCATCATGATATTGGCAGGGAATGAGACAGAGTAGAATGGAGAATGGTTTCCGCGAGGGCAGTAACGAGACCCTTTGCAACCGGCGGGATTGAATGAGAAAGGAAGAACGGGAACGAGGCAAATGCCGTAAAACTGAGTTCCAGACATCTGGGGGATGATTGTTGACGTTGACGAGGTTGCGT